TAACTTAATATAACAGTTCCATATCGATAGTTTTTTTATATTTCGTAAAAAAAATATTTAATATTTTTTATAAATTTTAATATATAAGAATTTTATTTCTGAAAATTTATTTTAGTATGTATTTATTTATACATTAATGCAAATATATTTCTACATAAAAGATTTTTAAAAGAATTATTTAGAAGCTATCATTTGTTATAAATATTCTGCAGGTAGCAAGTGTTAAAATAAAAACAGGAATAGTGAAGCCTGATTCTCATGAAATTGGACGGATGCAGATGCAGCACCGGAGGATCCGGTTCATGTCAAACAGGACTGATTCGAAAGTAAGTTTTCTGTTTATTTTCATATTTCATAGTTAAAATTTAATTATTTTAATATGTTCTTTTTTGGAATTAATAGATAATTATGTAAATTTAATATGAAATATTCTATTAAAGTATTAAAAAAATATTTTATAGAGAATATTTTGATTAATTTCTGTTTTAAATAATCGCGAGGACAAGAAAGAAAATGAAAACTTAAGAGAATAGCTAAATCGCTGAATTTATTTGTGTTCACATAATCACAGCTTCCACGAAATTTTCTCTAATATCCATGAATTTAATTTCATAAAATTCACAATTCTTTTATGCAATATATAGACATTGAATGGAATTCATAGTCTATTCTTATTTCATGACTGTCTTAAGTAATGCCTTAAAGTGCTAATACGGTTCTTTGATTAATTCGTGACATCTTAAGATTATATTTAAGACAGTCTTAAATATAAGAAATTAATCAAGCAAAACTTTTGCAAAATTTCGCTAATTATTTTATTTAATTTGTTAAAATTAACACTTTATAAACATCGCAAGTGTTTTGATATAATCAACATGGAACAACATAGAAATGCACTTTTTTTCTTACTTCCGTTATTGTTGTGGATATAAGTGCAGCAGAAGATCGGTGGATGTCGAGAAGATTTCACGAAATGGTGAGTAAATTTAAATTTATTTTATAAGTAATCTGTACTTCTTTAATTGCGTTGTTTTAGATTTTATAACATTACAGCACATATTAATTTTTTATTATTGCACATGATCAAATTAGATACATTATTGTTAGGAAATGGAAAGAATTGCTAACTAATTTTTTGGCTCAAAATATTATAAAGTAATTTTCTAATTTGTATGAGATTGTTTTTTTCAAAACAATTAAAATAAAATACAAATTAAAATACAAGTGTAAATATGTGTAGAGTTTATACGTACATTGTATATATACATATACATATACATAAAATACTAACTCCAAAATTATACAAATGTCGAACAGTTAAAAAGAACAGATTATATCGCATAAGTAATAATTGTAATGTTTCATCACTCTGATTTTCAATCGCACTGATTTTCAATAGCAAGAATATAAACAATTATGCACTGTTAAATTTATAGATAGATTTATAGAATAGAATTAAGTTAAGTTTATAATTCTATGTCTTGTGCATTGTGTCGCGAATTTTTATTATTTTTATTATTATTAGAAAATATTATTTTATATACTTGCATTCGCAAAATAAGTATGTGATTTTAATACATTGATGTTCATCTCATATTTTATATTGTCGTTATATTGTCTTTATGAAACTTTTATGAATACTTTTAGTTATTTATGAAAGATACGAGATTTATATATCTATCTTTTATGTAATTCTGTTTTTCTTACATATATGTAATTTTCAAAATTTTATGATAATTATCTTTATTAGTCTTTATTGGGCAATTTAATCCAGGCCGTAATGAAATTCTCTGATATCTAATAAATTAAAATTCAACGGAAAACAGCTATCTATATGTGTGACATGAAATAAATTTAAGAAAATCCAAACCAATTGCATTTATTAACGCGGTCGTAAAATAATTAAATTAGTATTTATAAATATATATATATTTATCATTATTATTTTTAATTGAAGTATAAATAAATGAGAGCTAAATAAATCGACCATTTTGATGCCGATTATGAAGTTTGCTATAAAATTATATCCCGTATCTACAAGATTCAGTTCATGAAAAAAAAAACGTTAAACGCGATTGATGAAGAGAACGATGGCGATGATTGTCGAAAACTGAAAGTGGCCAGCGTGCATGTGCGAGTACATCGACAGGAGTCATTTGCTGTTTATAATCGTGATTCACGCCACGGTGATATCCCCGTCGTACGGGCGTATATAGAAGGCCCAGGCTGCCCAGGAGGTACGACTATGACGCGTACGTTCGTTCCGTAACTCGCACGCACACGTATACACGCACGCGGCCCCGCGTGTCCCGTCTCTCTTTCGTAGGTGTCCGTCGCGTACGTCGTTTCGAGAGTGGGCACCCCTTCCCCCCGATAAGAGAGCACGCGTACGACACGCGACCGCGTACGCCCGGCGGCGCATTTAACGCGCGATCACTCTTGAGTGCCCGTGAGCGCGCGGTACACCGGGAGGGTTAAAATGCACCCCCGTAGTAAGATCCACCGTTTTTCTGCATCGACCATCCCCGGTGGGCCACCCCCTATTCACCGTGTTCAACGTTATTCCAGAACTCATGAGCGAAGCACGTCACCGATAATCGAGTGGAAAGTTGCGAATTATTTAGGGTGGAAGTATCGAAAGTCGATCTTCTCGGAGAATTAATAT